TTGAGTTCCTCAGATGCGACCCCTAGCTCTGCCCACTGATTCTGGATGATGCACGCATTTGCGCATAGCACAACAAACTTTTCCGGATTTGGGCATTTTAAGCCCCGTACTCTTGCTCTGGTCTCGGACGCCCGGGCTGTGAACCCGTTTTTAGTAATTGTCATGCGCCTTCTAATTTCGGAGTCCGCCGGTTCTACCATAGACGTCCTCCGCAGTGGTGTGGACGTTTGAACAGTTTTCTGTTCATCTTCACTTACCAACCTCCTCGGCAAGCAGGACTTCCATTCCTTTTCTTCCATTATATCTTCTGTAATAAACACCCCGTTACTGTAGGGGTGTTTGCCGCAAGCTGCGTACCCTAATTTCTGGCCCTTCCCTTGGGCCTATTATGCTCTACTTTCCCATGCGGCCATGGGTTGTCCGGGGCTTTGCTGTATCACCCGTTTGTGCGCTGACTCACAAGGGATGCTTTCGACAAGAACATGTCCCTTGGTCCCGCCTCTCCGAACTCCACTAGTATCGGTCAGGCCGCAGTCACCCGGTTCGTTTTTGGCTGCTTCCAAGCACCCACTCTGTGTATCCTTTTTATGTGACGTTGTGCATCTAAGCCTACCAGTTGAAGTATATCCGTCACTCGGCGGCGATCCATTTCTCGCCGAGTTTTAGACTCCCTGATTATTGGTTCCTCTTTTATGAGGACCAGTAACGTGTTGCACCTGGAAGCTCTATTTGCCCTAAGAGCATTGATCAAGGCGACCTCTGCAAGCAGTTTGTGCAGTACCGTTGAACTCTGTACGTTTTGGAATTATTGTTCCTTATTGGATAATCTCTTGAGGATTATTTTGGAATTGTGTACAAGCATCAAGGAAAACTGATTTGTTTGTAAACTGTGTGTTTGCAAACGCATTATCGGACCACGCACCAAGAGCGTGCAATGTGACAAGTGTGATGGGTGGATTCTTATCGGATGTGCTGGTCTCACACCGGAAGAATACAAATTCGTCGAGTCGTGCAAGTCTAAGTTTGTGAGAATTGTGTGCAATAACTGCCGAGTGCAGCCACGTCTGGACATCACAGGTGGTGCAGAATTATCGTAATCGGAGTTGGACATCACAGTGATTCGCCACTAACCGACTAACTCTTCACCAACAAAAGCTCTATCATCTACTCCATCCATTTAATGTGGTTCCAAGCGAAAAGTGGCTAAAAAGAAAAATTCAGTTACAGAGAGTGATCAAATCAGGAGAACCGATCTCGGAGTTATCGAACCTGCACATGCTGCATCAGAACCTATGGATTTTGCATGAGCGGACACCAAAAATGGTGATGGTAAGACACCAATAATTTGTGGTGACTACAGACTAACACTCAACCCCCGGCTGAAAAAGTGTGCGACCACTACCATGGAACCAGAAGACTTCATGAAACCTTTAGATGGCAGCACATGTTTTTCGAAGATTGACTTGGCTGATGCCTACCTCTAGATCCCTCTTGATCCCGCATGCCGCCAATTCACCACGATCAATACACCATGGGGATTATACCAGTACAACTTTCTACCATTTGGTCTCCACACATCCTCCGGCATATTCCAGGCGGCCATAGACGAAGCCATTCATGGACTTGATGGCGTCCTAACTTACCGGGATGATGCCATTGTTTTTGGTGCAACGAAAGCCGAACATGACAAACGCCTCACTAATCTCCTGGAACGTTTCACCCAGAAGAACGTGCCGATTCGTGCTTCCAAGTGCATGTTCAGTTCTCCAGAATTGGAGTTCATGGGCTTCACAGTTGATGAAAAAGGCTATCACCCTGATACAAGTCGCTTTCGTCCACTGACTGAACTGGAGTCACCAAGAGACAAAAACCAACTCAGATTCATCATGGGATGCCTCAAATACTATTCGCGTTTCATCCCTAACTTCGCCACAAAAGTTCAACCGCTGTTTGCCTCCCAGTCAAGTGCAGACTGGAAATGGATGGCCGAGTGTGAACGAATTCTGCATGAAACCATACAGATGATAACAAACCGACCGGTTATCGCCTCGTTCTCTCCGACGAAACGTTCAACTCTGATCACGGACGCATTAGACGTGGGCATTGGTGCTTTACTCCAACAAGATGGATGTCCGATTATCTGCATTTCTCGTCTACTGAATGCAGCAGAACGAGGATATTCGCAAGCGCAGAAAGAAGCGTTGGCTGTCTACTGGGCCGTCAGAGGCCTGCACAAATACCTGGTGGGACTGCGCTTCACCAGACTCACTGACCATCAAGCCCTACAATACATCTTCAGCCCACCGAAGTCGATGTATAAACCGACGGCGGCGATGATCTAACGATGGAGTATGGCATTAGCTGCAGACGACTATGATATTGTGCACCGGCCGGGCAAAACAATTCCTCAAGCAGACTTTCTCTCACAATGGTCCAAATTCTCGGCAGCTAAGAAATGCTATTTCATTGCTACTGCCTCCCCGGTATCACGAGAGGAACTACGCCAATACACCAAACGATACTATGCAGCAATCGTCACCGCACTATCGAAAGGATGGCGTCCGGACGTGAAACGGAAGTTCGCGGCGTTCTACGCACATTGGGAAGAAATCAGCGTACAACCTAATGGAATACTCTGCCGTAACGATCGACTGATTATTCCACATCCGCTGCAAGGCAGTGCTAGAAGATCTGCACAAGGGCCAATTGGGGGTGGAAAAGATGAAGTCGTTGGCGCGACAGATGTGTTGGTGGCCCGGTATAGATGAAGATAAACTGCTAAGAACTGCGACGCGTGTCTACAAAAACAGAAGTCAAAACCAAAAAGTTGGGCACCATGGCCAGAGAGCTGCATTCTATGGCAACGCGTGCATGCCGACTTCTGCGGACCATTTCTTGGTCAGTACCACGCACTAGTACTCATTGATTCCTACTCCAAAAGGCGAAAAGTATTCCTGACCAGTACACCAACCACGTCGTTCGTGATGAGAGTACTACAAAAGTGTTTAGTCGCAAGGATTTTCCCCCAAATATTTGTGGCTGATAACGGATAGCACTTCTATGCGGCGGAATTGAAGGCATGGCTGAACAGCATTGGCTGCAGACATTTGCGCACAGCACCACGCCATTCCTGTTCGAACGGTGCAGCGGAAAACCTGGTGAAAACGGTGAAGTATGCCATAGCTTCTGCAAATTCGAGGACAATCTCAGTGTTGGAGACACTCCTAAATAACTTCCTACTACAATACCGAAATGCCGCACATGCCACCACCAAGGAGAGTCCGGCAAAAACTGCTCAAGGCCAGAAGTCTTCGGTCCTCACTACGATGCCTGGATTCAAGTGACGTACGATTGGTCGAGCCGTGGTTGATTCACAGACCTGAGAGATGCAAAAGTTCACCGACGTCGCATCGATCAAATCCACTTCAACGAGACTCCTACTCCGAGTGAGGACCCGACTGACGAAACCCTAGAAAACCCATCCTGTGATACATCGCAAACAGCCACAGAAGACCATACACAGGAACCCTCTACTCTGAGAACGTCTACTGACGAGAATATCCCACGAGCACTCCGAAGACTAATCAGAAGAGCAAGCCAATTCGACGAGGCTCTTTTGAGTTGTGGTGATTCGGATCTACGAGATCACGCCTGCCCTGGAGCAGCGCGGTACAGTTTACAGACATTGGTAGTCAATGGACCTTGAGCGCTGACGCCAGTAGCACGTGCACAGCTTCCGGATACACGTCATTGGTGGACCGTTCCAGCCAATCAGATACAATGCAGAGAAGAGCAGTATGACGCAAGATGTGATGCAATATGATTGGAGGAAACTAAGGTAACCAATGATCTTTTGCGCACATATATTCACTTTAATTTCCTTCAATAAACGACTTTGTGATTCGCCTGTCTTGTGGCCTTTTTCCTCGCGTCTCGATCCTGCGGTTTACTGCGAATCGGAGCCATTGCGGTCTAGTTACACCGGATTTCTAATTCGTGTTCCGTGATTCCTATTGCGTAGTTCGTGTCCTGGATTCTGTGCGTAATTTCACTGCTACTACTTCTATGATCACCACACCCACGCCCGCTAAAAATAGTCCTGGGGTCAGAGGACGAGAAAAAATCGATTCTCCAGAGAGCCTTTAGACTGGCAGGAGAGACTTTACGTCTATACCGAGACCTGGAACCGGAAGACAGAGAAAAGCTGAAGGCAGCTCTAAGTGTGTTACACGATCGCAGGGTTAGCGGAGAGAGTAACTTCTACATTCGGGATTTTCGAGAGACCACCTAGAGTCCTTGGTATCACGCAAGGCACCGACGATTGCGGCGCTGACAGAAACGTGGCTCACAGATGATGTTTCAGACACGGAGATGGCCATTGCAGCGTTCACCTTCTACCGCGTCGATCAATGTACCAGAGGCGGCGGAAGAGTGGCACTGTACGTGCACGCAGATATACCCATAGTCCAGATAGGGACCCTGCGGGATACGGCGAGAGCCTATGGTGTCGAACAAAGCTCACGGCTAGAGGCTACGTGTCCACTGATATTGTCTACCGATCTCCTGGAGCAAATGTCTTCGCACTATTCATAGGAATGCGCCAATGGGCGAACAGCGGCCAATGTCTCATCATGGGGGACTTCAATTCCCAACGCATCGATTGGACCAACCAACAGTGCCAAGCGGGATTAGATCAATTCGCACGCGAGCTGATGTACACCTTACAAGAGATGTCGTTCCATCAACACGTCATGCAACCCACCGGGACACAGGCAGATCACGCCTCCCTACTTGACTTGGTAATTTCTGCGCGGCAGTCTGATGTTCAGGCAATCCATTCCCATTGTATTGAGGCCACATGGTGGATCGAACATCTGGCGGATGTCATTCGAGAAGGCAAGAGTGGCAGCGTCACACCCCTCGTGGTACCTTAAAGGTGCATATACGGTTGACAGCGCCTGGGAGACCATTAAGGATGGTATTTTCCATCTTCGTCAAACCCTGGCACCACCGTTACGGCAACGGACGCATGCCAGAGGTCCACCTTGGTTTAACGCCAACCTCAGATTACTCCTCAGACGGGGGAACCGGGTTTAGAAATGGTACCGCTCGACAGGAGAGGGTTATGAATGCTACCGGAAAATCCGAAATCAATGTACGGAGCTCAAGAGATGTGACCGTCGAGAATTTGAAGANCGTCTCTTTGCTTACCTGAGAAGAAGAAAAAGGACCACAGAGGCCATCCCGGCACTCCTGAACGACGGCACCCTGGTTGACTTAGGCGAGAGGAAAGCGGTGTTGTTGATTGTACATTACCACTCTGTGTATGAGAATGAGCCAGGAGATACCACTCCACCGGTACCCACTGGCACAAGTTCTATACAATTTGACGAGATAACTGAAGGGGAGGTTTTCGCGGCTCTGCAGTAGATAAAAACCAACCAGTCTCCTGGACCGGATGGTGTCCACCCGTTAGAGGTCAAAGAGCTCGTCGAGACATTGACCCCTCCTGTCACACTCCTGTTCAATAAATCCGTCGCGGAGGGAAGACTGCCTCAGGATTGGAACAAGGCGGTCATGGTCGCACTGTATAAAAGGGGACGGAAAGAGGATTCGTGCAATTACCCACCGGTCAGCCTTAAACTTCGTTATCAGTAGTCTGTGATTGACGGAGTCGAACGCTTTCTAGAAGACCTCCACTTCCTCTCCCCTGTCGATCTTTCTATTTACTTCATCAAGACAACAGAGGAGGTTTGACACGATTTTCTCCTCGTGAACCAATGTTGGTCAGCCCCTTCAATGCACCTACGGTTACCATGTGTTCAGCGATTTTTTCACTCAGTACTCTCTCCATGACTTTTAGCACTGTCAGACTGACGATAGTTGGAGCACGACTTACGTTCTCCCCCCTTGTAGATAGGAATAACTGTCGCCAAAAGCCATTCCACGGGTAGTTGGAGGCATTGAATAGTCTGGCAAGGGGCTCAGCCAAAAGGTCAGTCAGTCTCAGGATAGCGGGGTGGATGCCATCTGGCCCTGCTGCCTTAGTTGGAATAAGCTCCCTCAAGGGCCGATGCACTTCATCTGCAGAGATCACCACGTCAAGCATGAGAGTCCTCTCAAGGTTGCCGATGGGAGGCTCTGGTCTACCGTTGTGTGGCCTATAAACCCCCTACGAGTAGTTGAGGAGGGCTCCCGCCTTCTCTTGGTTGGACCACGTTTGGTTCCCCCTCGCGTCAACAATCGTTCCTACTTCCTTTCTAAGGTTACTCGTGGACTGCACATAATTGAAGTACGCCTTAGAGTTTTTTTGGTGTTGACAGCCAAGCATTCTTCGTACTTTTTTCTGCACTCGTTCTGGACTATACTGGTCTGGCGCCTTGCCACCTTGAACCTTACGTGGGAGCGAAAACCTCCCGAAATTCGATAGCGCTGCCACGCCTCCATTTTGCCCCGCAACATTTCAAGTAGCCTTTCCCCGAACGTCCCCAGTGGGGCCGTTTCGGTGGTCCAATCGGTTTCCGGAGCGCTGAAGTTTCCTATTATCAACACCCGGTTAATAGATTCAGTCTGTTAGGTTAACAGCTCTAGCAGTAGCTGATTATCCTCTATCGTGGCCGATGGGCTCCTGTAGACACCGATGACCGATGGCCGGTGCTATGCAGTTCGCACATTCACCTCCACTGCTTGTACATTCGGGGTGTTGTGGTGACGCCCTTCATGTTGGGTGTAATGGGTGGCTACGAGTACCAGAAATCCTCCTCTGACCCGTCCATCCTGGCGATCCACTCTGCTGGGGATATAGTTGGGAGGGCTCAGGTTACTAATTTCGTCACTAGGTCGCAGCCATGATTCTGTGATTACTGTCACGTCATCCTCGTTTGTCCGTGCTCTTAGTTCGGGCCATTTGTTTCCAAGTCCTCCCGTGTTCTCTTGCACGTCGTGGGAGTAGTCGATCGCTCGGGCCTTAGACCCGAGCTTCCAACCCATCTTTTGTCATCCCATTGTTGCTCTTCCTATATTTTGCCTGAAATAAGCCTCCCAGTAGGCTGCTCGGTGGGGTGATTAAAATGGGTCTGCAATAGGTGGTGCTACATTGCCCTGTCTGACTCCTCGGTGTCCCCTCGTGCTCCGTTGTGAAGTAGACCCAGTCGCTGGACCTGAACTTGAAGCGGACCCATTCACGCTATGTTAAAACCAAGTGAGTTGGGTCTGCTTCAGAGTACGTGGGCTTTCTCGTGGGCCGCGTCATATGGCCGGATATTCACCTGGCCTCTTGTGCTATAACTTATCTTTCCAGAGGATTGTAAGAACCAGTCACGATGTCTGGGGTTTGCGAATTCGACAGGGCCAAGCCTGGGGGTTGCCTTGCTCCATCCCCATCCCTGTTTAGCGTCCCAGACGCAAAACTCTCTTAATGACTGGGAGTTCCACTATTCTTAGCAAGTTGACAATGTGGTACCTCATTACCCGGTCTCTTTGTGTGCATTCTTTCATTGTGGGATCCGGGATACCATGTATTACCATATTTCTATTCCTACCAATTGCTATGTCGCTGGACTTCTTGAGTTAGGTTAGCTCAACCTCTAACCTCCTGTTTCCCTGCTCTACTGCGACGAGGCGGGCGACTAGTTCTGATACCAATACTTCTGGGGGTTGGTTCCCTATGTCCTGAGTATGCGCGTGGCCTGGTGTCTTGGTTTTGGGCGCACCTAGTGGCTTCGTAGGGTTTCTTCTCTTCTTTTCCTCCACTGTTTTATCAGCAGTTCCA